TTCTGCTTTGGAGAACTCCTCAGAGATGAAGGAATCAATGTCCTTGTATTCCTTCTCAGTCACTGGCCTGCGGTAGAATGGGAGTTTTTCTCCGTACTTCTGCATTGTGAAGTCCCGATGAGTCTTCGGGCTGGGCAGGGGTCCCACCACATACTCTGTAATGTTCGGGTCTGGTTGGTTTCCAAAATACACCACAGCCAGTGCCTGCCGTGGGGGGCGAATTCCTCCATCCAAAAATTGCAGCACCTCTGCCTTGGTGGGGAGCTGCACGTCGATGTAGTAAATGCAGTTGTCCGAGGGCTTTGCTTGAGAGGCATCTACCAGTGGCACTCCAAGGTTTTCCCGCAGATACCTCACCACTTGCACCATTTCTTCTGGAGTTAGATCAGCAAACACCAGGCTGTGGTCCCTGGACTTGTCCTCCTGGCCACTCTGGGTCTGGGACTCACAGCTAGTTGGTTTTTCTCTTCGAGTCAGCAGCACACAAACTAAAGCTAAAATGGTAGCGAGAGCCAGAACCAGGAGGATGAGAACTGTTTTCAGGTTCATGTTTGCTGCAGAGGCAGGAGTGTCTCTCAGAGTCTTACAGCGTGTGGTTCCCAGCTGCAGGCAGCCTTGCCAATGACAGGCTTACTATAGGAAACACATCTCGTGCGTATTCGTGGGGAGGTGCAGGGTGGGAGGAGGGATATGTACTTGAAAGAGGCTTCGGGTTTGCTGGGGACCATAAAAGACGTCTTTTCCCTCTGCTTCTCCAGACTGTTCAATGTTTCTTAGGCAGCACCACATGCCATTAGTGCAACCCTTGCTTCCCCGTCACACCTTTGGGAGTTGGTTACAGAGATGGATCCCAGGTCCATGGGTTTTGGGGGCTACAGATTTAGTCAGTTTGGAAACAGGAGGACAGAACCAAAAAGGCAATAAAACCAGAATGTACAGCTGATAAAGAAAATCAGGGGAGGCAAAGCACCCTTCAAGGCTGCTTGCCAAGGACTGTAACCTGATTCCTTCAGGCTGCAGTCACCTCCTGCCTGGTTATTACTAGAAATTTCTTTGCAGCCCCTTTCATAACCTTCCCCTGTATTTCATGCACACAGCTCTGTGCAACAATAAAATGACTTCATTTGGCTGATATCTTTAAGTGCATTTAATTTTGGGCAACTGCCTCCAGCCCTTAAGCAAAATTGTACACTGTGTGGTTGCTCAGAGCTGTTGTGCAACCCCCCCCAAGCACATGGAGCTTTCTGGCATCACCCTCCAAATCAGTCCCCCTTACAACTCTTATTACATCCTTCTTTTGTGCTGCTGCCTGCAAGGAATTTCCCTCCACTGCCGCCTCCCCCACCCTGCAAATTGCTCCCTGAAGCACTGGGTTATGAACTTGTATGATGCCCTGGGTAATTACCTTGCATTTGAGCTGGACCTTTAGACCCTGCCTCTTCTGCGTTCATCCCCCCACAGGCTCAACTGGCTCCTTTAGGTAGCATATCAAGATCCCCCCCACCCCACAAACTCTTCTGCAGCCTCCTCCAGGAGTTTTTCTGTGACCACAGTCAATGCAAATTTTATGGGATAAGAAGCCCCAGCTGGAACCAAACTGAACTCCTCGTTAGCTAGCAGGGCAGCTGACCAGGACACTGCACAGCTGTCTTTGCCTACTTGTCTGCAAGGCATCATGTCCATCTCTGGGGCCATCTGCAAGAAAGACCTGTGACAACTGCAGTTGCAGATCGGGGAGCAGGAAGCTGCTGGGAGGGGAATGGCGCTGCTGGAGGGTTCCTACACTAAGTGGGTGCCCCAAGAAATTGAGGTGGTGATGACACATGAATATTTATAATATTGTAGTGTCTTGAGGACCCAGAGAGAACCCCGTGTGATGGCTTCTGCACAATCCTATATGGAAAAGTGGGCATAAAGAACCCACCTGCTCTGTGCAATGGTCCCAGGGCAAAGCCATTTCAGCCAACCCCATCCCCATCCCACACAGTTCGAGGGGGTGCATACACCAACCATGACAGATCACTGATGCTGATCAGATGTGATGCATCTTGCATCCTTAGCGGCCTTGGCTGTGACAGAGCTGTCCCATTGCAAGGCAGCCCCAAAGCCCTCTAATTGGATCTATGGAGGCAGTTAGAAAGCCAGGAGCAGCTGCCACCCAGGTGAGTAAATTGTCCTTTTCCATCTTTGACTTCTGTGCTCAGCAAATACACCTTCTCCCTCTGACCCCACTCTATCTGCTTATTTCCTGCCTTCCTCAACTGCAGTCTCTCCAGGTGTGTTTGATGACATCATCTGTTTCACCATTTACCATTGCCCTTCCTTTCTCCTCTTCTGGGTCAGAAAATCCAAGCCCCTTTCAGCAAGCTCCTGGGAGCAGGGCAACTCCTCAATGCTCACTGCATGAAATGAGTGACCATGCTTCATTTCCAGTACTGCCAATGGCTCTATGGTGAAAGGCAATATCCCATCTTTGGTGTTGCTTCTATAACCTGTGTATTGCAAATGGCAGTGATTTTCAACCAGGGTCCTGCAGCATCTTAGGGTGCTGTGAGATCATTTTAAAGGTACCACAGGATGCCACTAAATATGAGCACTGTTAGATATGCAAACAGCTACTCATGAGTCACAAGACAACCCCAGAGATTTCAAATAGTTTCAAAAACATCCTGAGCTGTTGTAGTCTTTTTAGGTTCTTTGCAACAGAAGAATTGCTCTGTTATTTGTCTATAGCTTCACCCATTTCTATTTTTCAAGAAATGGGTGAAAGCTAAGAGTTGGTATTTTCTGAGGGGGACCTTGAGTCTAAAAATGTTGAGAACTACTGGCCCTTTACAAAGTGTTGCCTGCAGTCTCTGCCTAGTAAGGAAGAGCTGGCCTTGCTGCACATCTCTAGCCTCACCTTTGAGGGTGGCTACACCTTGGGAACAGAAACTAGCAATGACTGAGAGGTGTTCTGGTGCCTGGAAAAAGCAAAACTCTTCTTCTTACTTTAAAGCCATGATAGGGCTTGTTACTCTTGATTAAACTAGAAATGCATGATTAAAAACACCTGTGATCCTTTAGATGGGCACCAGGTAAGCAGAAAAGCCTGGCTTAAATACTTGTCCTTTGCCTCAAAATTTCTGAGAGGCATGGCCTCTCTGCAGGCAGAGGAGTTGGGGGAAAAGCAGAGGAAGCAGGAACAGGACCACACTTTTCTTTCTGGGGAGGTATCCCAAGCCCCTTAAAATCTTGCTCCTGCAATGAATGTCAGAGCGAGTGTCAGCACATGTCATCTCTGGAGAAGAGGCAGGGCCTCCAGTTGGCTTGGACAGGACAAACAGGACTGGACAAAGCCTCAAGCATGGGAACAAGGGAGCAATCCCACCCTAGTCCCTGGATATGGGTGCAGAGAACTTGCTGTCAGTCCCTGACATCCTTAGTTGTGGGACTGATGCTGCTCTGTGGTGGGGCTCTTCCTTGTCACAGTGACAATGTGGCTGTTCACAAAACCTAAGACCACTGAGGGAGCTTGGATTTTGGTCAATCCTACAGGGTCCCAGGTCATATTGAGCCCAGACAGCCCCTGGGCCTGGCACTGCTTCCTCTGCAACATTTAATTCCCTTGAATCCTAAGCCTTTGCAGCCTGTCAGCCCCAGCTGCTCAAATTCATACCTTCTTGGAGCTGTAATATGAATCCCTTCCTCCTGTGACAAGTTAGGGAGCATATGCACTCCCGCACCCTTTTGCAGTAGTATCCTACAAGCACTGAGCCCAGAGGGCCTCATTATTAGCTTCTGGTCCAACTCATTCCCCCTCCTTCCTCCAGTTTCTGTCACTCTTCATCTTGCTCACCACAGTGATCATTCTTGGTGCTTAACTTGCACTTGTTTTTCTTGCCTCTGTCTGCTTGACAACCCCACGTCTTTGCATTCTCCACAGCAGCACAGGTTGTGCTTCTCTGTGCTAGGGCTTGGTCAAATCTTCAAGTTAGAGCATGTTTTTAAGATTCAGGTGTCAGCACAGGAAATACTGCTGAGTCCCTGTGGCCCATCAACCTTTGTGGTGGCAGGCAATAAGAAGCATGTGCAATGGTTTAGGAACAAGGCACTTCAAAAAAAATTGGACCAAGATCAAATTTAATTATTTTAACCTGAGCTAGTTATACACTGTGCTTGTAACACCACTAGAGGAAAGAAATTCTCCCTCCATCTCCCACTTTCTCTCTCCCCTCAACATATTGGACACACACAAAACACAACCTCAGCTAAGATAAGCATCTTGTTTTTGAAAGGTAGAATGAAGAAGACAAGATCTTTCCTTGAAAATACTGGTAAGTAACTGAGTACCAGTTTCTACAGCAGTGCCCCCAGCCAGCAGCTAGGGAGCCCTATGTGCAGTGCTGCAGCATTACTTTTACTTTGACAGTACTGCTATTACTGCATTTCTTCAATTCCCCAATTTCCAAAAGCTAAATCTTGGGGGGGGGGGGG